TATATATATATATATATATATGTGTGTGTGTGTATTCAGGTACTTATATATATAACCTTGCATCTCCTTTTCCGTAGATCATGTAAAAGAAATTGTATTACATTTTCTATCTGTGTCCCTTTATGGGAATGAGTGCCTGCTACAGTATTTCGTGTTTAAAATCTATAACATAAAATGTACTTGCTACATAATATATTATTTTGAACATGTTTCACTATAGAACAAAATCTCATACAATAATATACTAAGTAAGCTCAAATTATACAGTGAGATTTACGTAAAATTTCACATGATATATTCTTTTGACCAATTAATGATTCTCTTAAATTCTTGAATTTAGAAACTCTCATACAAAGTACTTTATGACTTCACGTACAATTCTCTTATTAAAAATAAAACTAATAGCTGTGTCATTTGTTTTTTCTTTGTAGTGAACATAATATTACTAAACCTTATTTCTAATATATTTTAAGGTTGCACATCAATATAACAATTAGTTTGATCCTTGTTTATTTTTCTTTATGAAACCTTAATAATAGTACTCCTATGGTGGATGATCAGGGATTGCTAAAAGATGGAAAAGTAGCCATGAAGGAATTCATGACAGAGATTAATGTGTGATCAACATAAAGCGTGGAAGTTTGGTCAAGCTGTATGATTTTTATGTGGGAGCCGGGAGGGAATCATGAAATCAGTCTACAATTATCTTAAAAACAATAATTTTATTTAAATTAAAATTAAAATAGTACTATTTGAAAATATAATTTAAATATAATTTGATTAAGATATTTAAATTAAAATGTGATATATTTTCCATATCTTTAATTTGATCCATGATAATTTATTAATCAATGTATATGAAAGAAACCATGTTTTCACATAAAATACGTATTGAAATTAATTACCATTTATTTTATTCAATATATTTTTATATTCTTATTTCTAAATATTTATTTGATAAATCTTAATATATTATTTCATTTTATATTGAGTGAATTTTTCTATATTTTTAAAATAGACAAAAAAATACAGATATTGTCAAAACAAAATACTAGTTATAGTGGAAATTAAAGTATTCAATAGCATCGTTTTCTTTTCGTTAATAAAGATATATAACTTTTTTCTTGAGACGACTCTATAAAAATAAAATCATACTTCTAAACGCGATTTCATGTCATGACGAAAATCAAACTCGTTCTATAATTACCATGTAGGAATATCATACCACTTAAGAGTTTTTGGTTCAATAACATCATTTGGTGGGGAAGCTGTTGGACGCAGGTGCTAAGGAAGCTCCACGTTGGATCATTTTCATGTGGTAGCCTCGCACTATCAATCATATGGATGTTTAATATATTTTATAATTTTTTAAAAAATTGAATGAAAAAACAATATAATTACATCAAATTTAAAACCAATTAAATTATAAAAAAATTAAACTAAAATTAATAATAAATATATTCTTAACATTTCATGCTAATTATTATTTTAAATTAAAATGTTATATTCTTTTTTACCTTCACTTTAATTGTATTATTCAAGCAACATTATATTTTGTAGTCTTTTTCTATGTGTTCTCTATCATTCTTATATATTTGATGTAATTTTTAATTAATTTGATTAAAAAAGAAACAACATTTTTTAGAAGAAAAAAATTATTCTTCCACGAAAAAAAAATATAATAACCTTTAAATAAATTATTTGATATTTATTTACGTTAATTATATAATTCAAAAATATTTTTTTTTACATTTTTTTTATAATAATAGTGAGACTAAAATATTAAAAAGAAAAATAGCAAGTGAATTGAGAAAAAGGGTGGACGCGGAGTTGTGGTCCACCATTCATAATTTTTTGTAAGCATGTAATCTACACTCTACAGGTCTATGAGCCAATCAGTTTGAGAGTCCCTTATCCAAATAAATACCCATTTGATTGATTTTCGTCGTTCAAATTCCTATCCACAGGTAAGTGGTAAGTGGTAAGTGGTACGTGACCCATTTAACTTAACTCTGCAAATGGCCATGGCCACAGCTGGCGTGTGTCCTCAGAACATCACCGGAGCCATCGTGACCAAGAAGCGAATGAAGAAAGTGGTACACGTAAGAGGCCTTAATTCATTCGGGGGATTAAAGGCTAGCAATGGTGTCGTCTCTTTGGGGCTTCCTTTGAGCACTGAGAAGTGCTTCGCTAAGATTGTGAGCTCAGTAAAAGCAACAACATCAAATGGAAAAGGAAAGGGAGGGGCGCTCTCATCCACGTGCAATGCCGCAGGTGAGATATTCAACATCGCTGCTATCATCAACGGTCTTGTCCTTGTCGGGGTTGCGGTTGGTTTTGTCCTCCTGCGAGTTGAAGCATGGGTCGAGGAGTCTGAAGCAGAGTGACTGGTGATTCAGATAAGCATGTATATTCATGCTGTGGCTCTTCTTGTTTTCGTTAATCATAATGACTTGTATATTTATTTCTCAACTTTCATAATTTTCTTGGTTTCTTCGTAATTGGATTTCTTGTCGATAATCTGTCGGCATGAACTGCTGCCAATCCTAAACTTCTGCTTTCAACCTGGAAGTCACGGCCTCTGGCTGTTCTAATCTATTTCCTGCTAAATATTATGTGTAATACTTGCAAAACCAGTAACTATGAGAAAGATTTATACATCAAATTCATTTTTTTTGAAATTATAGATATCAATTTGAATAATAAAATTACATAAATACCTTTTTCAGTTTTTAAAGTTAGAGAGCATTGATCATTGACTAAAATGAATTTTATAAATTAAAGTACTGTTATTTTTGTATTTTTAATGATTGAATTAATCGCACTCAATTTCTGTGAACCGTCTCCCATCAGGACACAGATTTATTGGAGAGTAATATATAGTGCGAATGGTAATAGAATGAAGAAAACGGTATAAGTCCATAGATATTCTTAAATGGAGCTTTTGAACTTTAAAACTGCGGACATGAGATTTATGTCTTAGGCTTTGTTTCGATTTGAGGATGGAAAAGGAGAGTGGAAAAGGAGGAATTTGAAGGGAAAGTGAGTGGAAAGTGAGGTTGTTTGGATTAAGGGAAAGTGAGTGGAAAGTTTGTGAAAGTTTGTGAGTGAATTGATTGATGTGATAGATAAAAATAAATTTTTTAATTGATGATTTTGTAAGATTACTATATGTTGTGTAGTGTTGAAAGTAATGATGTTGAGAATGCTTCCGACATGGTGTTGAGTTGTGTTGATTGTCCTAGGATTAGAGGAGAGTAGTTTTAAAAATATGAATATCTCATTGTAAGAATATGGTGTTGTAGTACTCTACAAGCCTAGTTATTGAAAAATCTTTCATGATAAGTTGACTCTTAAAATGGAATGTTAAGTTTTATAGGTCCTTAGTTGGTATAATATAGGGGTCAGATCAAGTTATACTAATTATAAGCGACCAATTGTAGATCTATATGGAGGTTAGGTTGAGTCATATGTGTATAAAGTGGCCAATGTAGATTCATATATGGAAAAGTCGAGCCATACACATAAAGTGACCGAATCGAGTAAGGTACGAGGTTGGAGGCCAACCCCCCTAACTAAGTATTGGAAGGGGCACAATATTTAGAAGATAATTGACAAACTAATTCCATAATAGGCTTAGTTATGCATACTAAGGCTATGGTAGATTGACACCCAAACTATCCTAACCCTGACAATATTGAACTTTCCTAGTTTAAGTAGAGAATTCCAAGAAACCATGTTATGTTGTGGATTTTTATCTAAATTTATTGTTGATGTAGCAAACCCAAAAAGATCGCAATGTTAAGTTAGTTCAGTAGAGTCAAGCCACTTAGACTACTAACTTGTGTTGTAAGAGATCTCTTAATTGATATGCATGACGACACATTATGTTTTTTTGTTGTCATGTTATGGAGTTATTTTGGAGGATGATAGAGTTATTTTGGTGCTACTCTATAGTATCTATTTTATAGTGTTGCTTGACTGATAGAAAACCTAGGTTTAAACTTTCAATATTGGATTATTGTATTTATATGCTTGTATAGTTATAGTTACAATCCTAGTCAAAAAATTTATTTTACTATCTTAGTTATTAGTTAAATTTCTACACACACATACATACACACACACACACACATATATATATGAGTTAATCACCTATACACTGTCAGTGAAATATTTTTACACTAGCAACCAATTATATCTTTTAATTGTGTCATGTCACTGTTAAAAGTAAATGTGTTTATAGTGATATGACACAATTACAAGATATAATTGGTTGCTAGTATAGAAAAACTTTACATTGACAGTGTATAGGTGATTAACTCTCTATATATATATATTACACGTATATCCAAATATTATTTGTGTATTAACATTAAATAATTAGATTTATGTTTAGTATTTATTTTTATGTGAATATGATTGTTGCTATGTAAAAAAATCAGGAAATTCATCTACATTATAATTCAATTAAATCTTACTTTGGATAATTTGTTGTGACCTCTATGAAAAAGGTTTGACGTGATATTTTATATTCAGTTTCTATTTAAAAATAAAATAGGAACACAATGTAAGAAATATATTTTTATTTATCCATGGAGATGAAGTGAAGCAGAGTTGTTATTAGGGAGTTTGGATGGGAGCATAATAATATAGGTTTGGTACATGTTGAGAGAGGCGGTTACAAAGTGGGGCCTGGAATTAGAGCATGAATGTTTCATGCAGATTTAAATGGGTAGAAGAGTTTGAAAGGTTGCCATCAATGGGTCCCAGCCTGCTCCCTTCCAACCCAATTGCCGGTAGAATTGGGACCCACCCCTTTCCGCGTGTGCTAACTGCTCATGCATTCGTCAACCGCCTTTAATATTCTTCCTTCATTCTTCTCCATACCTTATCTATACACTCCCAACACGTGAATAATCTATTTACCAATGATCTCTACTTTTTTTTTTTCGTCCCTGGAGTATCCATCGCTAATAGCAGTGACTAATCTCCTCGCAACATTGGAGGTACCTTAAAAGATAGGATAGCTGGTCCTAAAATTTAACGCAGCTACATACACAAGTCATGATTTGAACCCTGACTTTGCTTAAGTGTGGATCAACCCCTACCGCTGAATCACACGCTTGGGGGTAATGTTCTCCACTTTAAATACGTAAACGACTTTGTTAAACATTCAAAAAAAAATAAAATTAAATAATGTTGTTATCTATCCTAATTTTACTTCACTCGAACGTAATTGTGTTCAATAATTGATATGTATGATTTATTAAAAAAAATTTAATTGTAGTTTTGATCCTTCAAGTATTGCAATTGTATAATTTTGATCCCTAAGATTTTAATTGGATAATTTTAGTCCCTAAAAAATTGTAATTGTACAATTTTAGTCTTTCAATTTTTAGTTAAACAATTTTAGTCTCTCAAATATCATAATTGTACGATTTTAGTCTCTCTTATTAAAAATTTAATAATTTTAATATATATATACATATATATATATATATAATATTTTAAAATTATACAATTATTTGTCTATTCAAGTTAACATATATTATAATTTTCATTAATGTATCAAATCA